AAAAGGTTGCTGGTTCAATTCCCATTTGGGGTGTGCACAGGAAGCTACCGATTGATGTTCGTTCTCTCTCTCTCTCAAAATCAAAAATAAATCCTCAGGTGAGAACTTAAAAAAATTCTAAAAAAAAAATGGCATTACAAAAATATATTAAGGTTAATCTGCCCTGTTGATTTGTAAGATAGTTTTATATTACTGTGTAGTATATGTAAATAACACATGGAAGAGACATTAGCGCAGAAGTTCTTAATTTGGCTGCACATTGGAGTAACTTGGGGAGCTTTCAAAATCCTAAAGTCCTGATCATAACTCCAGACCACTTGAATCAGAATTTCTGGGAATATAAACTAGGCTTCTCAAACTTTAATGTGCCTATTAATTATCTGGGTCTTTGCTAAAATACAGATGAGTTCACTAGGGCTTGGCTAAGTAACACCTGAGGTTTCTAGCAAGTTCCAGGTAGTGGTTCTGATGCTGCTGTTTGAGATCTTACTTTGCGGAACAAGGCTCCAGTACAGAGTAATTCAACAGCAGCACTGTTGACATTTCGGGCGGAATAATTCTGTTGTTGGGTGAAGGGAGAGCTCTCTTTTGCATGGTAGGATGTTTAGCAGCATTCCTGGCTTCTACCCACTAGGTGCCATAGCAGTACCCTCCTTCCCCCCAACCCAATTGCAACAACCTAAATTGCTCCCTCTTGAAAACCACTGCTCTAGTCTTACTCTTATATGTAAGGAAACTGAAGCTTGGAATGACTTACCTAAGACTGGAGAGCTGGTTCTTGTGCTACATTTCTATTTAACCTGCTTCCAACTCTGTTGTGTTTCCGAGGTATGTGCGATGTTATAACAAGCACTTCATATGTTCAAGATTTGCAGATAGCAGTTATTCTTGGTCTCCAGCTCTTATAACATTGTATACAAATGAGGTTCATTGCCACCAGGTGGCAGTGAATACCCTAGCAACCAGGTTTAAGTAGTATATTTTGTGAAGTAAGTAGCTTGTTTATTTATTTAAAAATTAGAATGTGCCCAGCCGGATCTTTGTAAGAAAATTTGAAAGATAAAGGAAATAAAAGTATCTGAAATTTTACTTTTTTTTCTTCCCTGTTTTTTTCTTTCTGCATTTGTTTTTTTCTCTAAGTTGAGATCATTGAAATCTAGCTTAATTTAAAATATAAATATTTCTTGCTGCCACAGTTTGGTAGACAAACTTTTTAATGATTGACAAAGATTTTGGGGGTTAGTTTTGCTGCTAACACTTTGGTCAAAGTGTGAGTCCAGTAAGGAGAACAAGTAATTCCAGTGTATCTTTCAATACAGTGAGTTGTTTATGGGGGTGAGAGGGAGGGAGGACATAACTGGACTGTACAGATTAGAGTCTTATCTTGGCTAGTTAAAAATTGGTTATAATTTTCATTTTGTGGAGAAGTCTCATTACCAAACATTGGAACATTAAGGAAGTACAAACTTAAGAAATTATTAAAATAGCACAATATTGTTAGACCAACATGTTTTTAGTAAAGACCTGTATAATGAGTTTTAAATGATGGTAAACATTAATGTGTGCATCTTAAATCTTACAATAGAAATATCTTTTTAAGAAACTTTTGGTTTGCATATATATATATATATATATATATATATACACACACATATATATAGCACTATCATGTTGGGTTCAACTCAAATGATATCTTCATGTGTGGCTGCAAGTCATTTAAATATTGTCTTAATAGTTTTTATTTTAAAGATAACGTGGTTGCTTAAAAAACCTTATGGTTGCACTATTTTGTAAACTCCTTTTTAAATATATTCATATTTTATTGGTTTTTACAGAGAGGAAAGGAGAGGGATCTGGAGAAACCAC